TCTTCCCGGTCGGGATCAAATTCCCACCGTCGCCATTCCCGAGAGCCTCACGACGACTTTCCGCCGCTGCCTCGACTACCCTCTCTGCGAGCATTAGCCCGAGACCGAGACAGTCCCTCGCCGAGTTCGTCCAGCCGCCCTCAGTCCCGACATTGGTCAACCGCATCACGCCGCGCCGAGCGCATCCGAAACCTCGAGAACCGCACTCCATCTGCGGGCTTTGACGATTTTGAACGTCCCATGGACGACGGCTGGCCGACATCTCGCCGCATCCGGATCGCCGCACCCGAGAGCAACCGTCCCACCAACCTCGAAGACCTGGATCGTCACCTCGAGGAGGCCAACTCGCACCTGCGCGCCCTGCTGGACCTACAAAACCACCCCAGCCTCACTCCTCCGCTCGTGCCATCCAACTACTCCCCAACCCTCCGCCCCCAGGATCTCCCCGACTCGAACCGACGACACAAGCGCCGGAAGCTGGATTCGGACCGCCTCGCGCCCGCCTTCAAGGGCTTTCGCTATGGAAAATACGGCCAGGTCGAGCCCGGCCAGCTCCAGATGGAGATTGTCAGTTGTGACGGGGGAATGTTCTCCAACGAGTCGTCATATGCCGCCGAGAATATTCTCAAGGACGACACCTCGGTGTACTGCACAAAGGGCAACAGGTGCAATATAGTGTTGCGGCACCAGGGTGCTACCGTCTTTACTCTGCGGGAGTTGGTAATCAAGGCGCCAGCGTCCATGAACTATTCACATCCGTATGTTCCTTTAGTCTTTGGCCATCCGTGGACATGACAGTTTGGCTGACTATCTGAACAGTGTGAGAGAGGGAATGGTCTTTGTGGCCATGGACCAGGACGATATGCTCAGCAGAACAGCACATTATCAGATTCAATACATGCCGCCGCGAGCAGGCGAAGAGTCAGGCTCCGGGGAGGGGGATTTTAGGGCTCTACAGCCCATCCCGACCGAGACCATCTCTATCCAGCATCATGAGAACGGTACCACGACCACAAGGTACCGTCCAGCATACTACCGCGGCAACAGCGACGACTACGAACCCCGCCACCCCCAGATGCCGCGAGAATTTCTCTGGGATCTTCCCAACTTCCGTGTGACAGCAGAGTATAGCGACGATGAGGAGGATGAGTACGACGGGCGCCGTTTCCTCCGCCGTGCACCCAACCGCATAGGATCCCTCCCCTTCGAGACCCTCGACTCGGAATCCGACGATGGCGCAGAAATCTTTGACCCAGAGTACCTCGACGATCACCACCCCTCTCACTGGCGGCTTTACAGCAGCGCAGCTAACACTAGCGGATCCGGCTTCCCACCCTCATCCCGCCGCCGCGACCGTGAACGTGAGCGTGAGCGGGAACGCGACCGCTCCTCTAACAACTTGTCCCTGACCGAGGCCTGGGAGGCTCACAACTCAGCCACGCAAGAAGCTGTTCGCGCCGTAGGCGGTGGTGGTCTCCTCTCACCGCACGCCCGCTTCTTCATCGAGGAAAAGAAGAGCAAGTGCACCATCCGCTTCGACCCTCCCGTCTCGGGCCGCTTCATCCTCCTCAAGATGTGGAGCTCCCACCACGACCCCGCCAGCAATATCGACATCCAGTCCATCATTGCTCGGGGTTATGCTGGCCCGCGCTACTTCCCCTCTGTCCAGCTCCGTTGATGACGCCCCGCACGTGAGGATAGAGATGCGGGATGTGCGTGCCTGAGTATGGCTGAATCATATGAGCCGTGTTTGTAGGAATGACGATGAAAGCATATGACACGAGGATGAACGGTTGTCTCGATTGGGATGAGCGTGATCGGCTCATTGTCATCAGCTCCCACCTTTGGTTGAACATGGGTTGAGAAAGCTCCATCCAATGAAGCCGACATATTTTGCATTTTCCACCTGGTTTACAGTACTTGGGAGCAAACGAAATGAGACATGCATCATCTCGAAGGAATGGAACCCGCCGTCTGGCTGACGGTGTGGCTATGGATCGTGTATAGAGGAGTTCCGGATATGATTTAGCAAGGCATTGGAATGAGACTCAAGCCATGAGACATTCGCACAATACCATTATCAATTGTCAGTTAGAGAACTAAGCTCAGCATTCACTGTGCAAGAACAATGTCTGATTCACTCCATCTCCATTTACTGCCATAATAGTGTATGCTGTTGTCCCAATTAAGAAACCCATGCGCCAAGCTAATGATACAAAGTCGAAATCCTCAAACTCCAAGTGAAAGAGACTTTTATCTCAGAACCATCACCCGAAGCTCTCAACCCTCGGATCATGCTCCCCTGTCGTACCTCTTCGCTCAGGCGCCACTTGTAGCGCTGGTTCGGCGAGAGTCCACGCCGAAGTCAGTTGGAAGATCAAAAATAGCCCCAAGGAAAGTCAGGTAGATTCCAGCGAAGCTGCATCCTAGTTAGCGAGTTCTGGAAGGACTGAGTGTACAATACTTACAAAGTGAGGTGAGCGAGGACAAGTGCTGCCTGGCCGATTGCGTAGTTGCTCTTGCAGACAAGCGAGAAGGATCCATCATTGCGGTACCAGCCAAAGACGAAGACGGGAGCGAAGGCGAGGACAATTAGGGCGATGACCCGGAAGACGTACCGGGGGAAACGGCTGCCGAAACTTCTGCCTCGGGCAAAGACGAAGTAGAGTAGAGTAGCGGTGGCAAGCCAGGACAGGAAGGCGATAGCGGAGAGAAAGAAGAAGGGCAGCCATGCAGGGTCGTTGGGGTCGAGACGAAAAAGCTGAACGTTGCTTTGGAAGTCACGGTCATTTGCGAAGCGTGCGTTTCCCCGGCCAAAAGGTCCCCTTCGGAAGTCGTCATCGTCGTCGCGACGGACGAGACCTCGGCCGTCCCGGGGGACAGTAATAAAGCGCGATGTTGCATCTGACAGAGCAGACTGTTGCATCTGAGGCCAGTCTCCACCGGCAGTGATGGCGGCGAGGATGAAAGTGACGAAACTGCCAATGCTGAAGATGATGAGGAACGCCTTGAGGATGAGACGGATGAACCGTTGACTGGGGATGTTTCCATCAGGGTTCTGCATGTTTGCTGAGGGAACTCTGGAGACGAGGACTGAGTGCTAGCAAAGGGCAGATTTGGGAAGGTGAAAGCGATACTGCGGATGATGGTTTGGAGTTTGGATATCAAGACAAGATAAGATGATGGTGCTGGGTTGAATCTGATGGATGACAGCCAAAAAGATGAAGATGGAGATGGAGGGAAGAAAAGAGAAGAAGCGAGAGTCAGAGAGAAGAGGTTTTTGTCTACCCATGGTGAGCTGAGCACCTTCCCATCATCTCGAGTTCGACTTTGGAAGTTGCACCGCACATGAGCGCTGTAAGTGGAAGGATGATTTGAGGGAATCAGTTATCACGGCCATCGTGCCTTCTTCGGTTTGCAGGAGCTCAACACTGCCTGCGAACAGAAACCCAGGCCTATGGCTGGTAGTGCTAGAGAGGGATGATTATGCGATGTAGTTGGAGATTTGCCTCTTTTGGCAAGTGGTGATGTCCTCGTAGCGAGTTGAGAAACTGGAGCTTGGTCTGAATATACTCTACCTTTTGCGAGCTATCGTTCACAGGAATTCCCACCCGCTCTTCCGTCACCGGAAGACAGAGATGGCCTGGCAGTTCCTCCCGTAGCTGCCTTGCTACCTCCCGTCGTTGAACCGGTTCACCGTCTGAAGGCACCTGCTTCTGATGGCGGGAGGGGAAGGAACGCCCGCTCCAGCCACGACCCCATGTTCTTGCCTCTTGCGCAATGGACTTGGATCTACGAAGGAAGTCACAGAGATGACGTTGTTGCCAGTAGGTACCTACCTACCTATCTACCTGCGTGATCAACACAGGTGGAGAGAGATAGGTAGGACACCAGCTCATGACCGATCGAGGGACGCCAAGGCTTCAGGCCGGTGTAACTGATAGAGCTGGAATTCGGGGCTAAGATAGTCCTTCTCCATAGTTGAGAGCTGGTGTGGTTTATGCTCGACGCTTGGCATCTGAGCTTGACGATAGGTGAGCAGATCAATCCGGCCAAGAAGTGGATGTCGGAGAGTTTGGTCTTGGGAGCCTAGACCCTGAACAAGCTCTGATACTCCTGGTGCCTGTAAACTCCACACCAGGGACGGACCATTCACCGTCTTGCCATGATGGAGAGTTTCCTGACGCCACGGGTAGTTAAAGATCAGCCACTGGAGCACGGGATGAGGCATCGATGGGCCGCTGGATCGTGGCGGCACAGTTCGTCAACGGGGTCAAGACTGTTCCTGCTTGGTTGGGAGGGACTAGGGGGGCCTGGACTCGCTCAACAGACTTTTACAAGGCACGAGGCTGAAGAATGGATGCACGACAAAGTCTGAAACTCAGTTGACGTTGACCAAATCCTTCCCGGAAGATGCATCGGCTGCAGGTTCCCGTGGTACAGGGGGAGGTTGAGTTCGACCACGCGAGAGTGAAGAAAGGTGAGGGTCCAGTCCAGCAAAAGCAACGAGTAAGCATGCACAAGCTATGTAATTCTGCATGAATTAAGTCAGTTGTGCATTGTTGATCCTCCCGTATTGCTTATTTTGATGAGATGAATTTCAATTTCAGGGACCCAGCAAAGGGATACGACATTATTGATTTGAGCCCCAATAGTTGCTGTACTGTGCTGTGCCCTGATGCAGCGACTATTGCTTCTTCCAGGGAATGAAGAAATCAATGAATGACTTCTAGGGCGATGTCCGCCCACGGTCCGCCGGCCCCAGCGCCAGCTGAGGCCCGAGAGTCACACAGAAACATCCATGGAGTGGCGCGCGTCGACATTCCTCAGCAGCCAGGGATCTGCACCCTTGGCGTACCCAAGCTTGGCTGGGTTTGGTAGGTAGCCTAGTTGTGAGACAATTCGAGACGACATTCTGCCCGCGTCTTTTCCGGAAAAGGCTTCGATTCAAGGCGATAGTTGGCATCGCAGGTATGTGCATTGTATATGGATTCTCTGTAATGGCTTGTCCTCGTGGGAGCTATCCTGCCGGTGGCTGTAGGAATTGCCTGATGTGTACGTCCGTCGTCGCCACCAAGACCACTACAACACTACCTTGCACATACAGACCAAAAGGACCCCTCCCCGGGCCCATCAAACCCATACCCGTCCATCCGCTTGAGAGCTGCTGCGCCTGTAGTTGGCTCTGTCTACTGTGCTGCACCTAGTTTTTGCTCGCTTGCCCAACCGGACTTGGCCACGCGCAGAAACACTCGACGCCGGCTTGTGTTTACCTACCTCCAATACCTGCCATACTTATCTAGGGTCCTCTCCACCAAATCCTGATCTTCCTCGTCCATCGCCAACCTCCTCGTCTCTCTCGCCGACTGCGTCTGTCTCACTGCCTGTCTCTCCGCCTTTTCTACACGAAACAATCGACAAGAACCCACAAGTAATCACCCCAAGACAGCTGCCGTCGCTGCTAGCGTCACTTCTACGCCTGTCTCACCGGATCCGTTTCGCTGGACCCCTGCTCCCGTCAAATCTCCCTACACGCTATTCCGTGAAACCCCCCTTGGGGCCGAAACCTTAGCACATCATGCTACCTCCGGATGGGCTCCAGGGGCTCAACGATCAAGCCTGCTTCGACCAGGGCGAACTTCCTGTCGATTGCCGTTCTCAGCCAGATGCCCCGAATCCCCCGAACGCCCCTGCAACTCCTGTCTCCAAAGTCCGTGCCTCGACCGCGAGGAGACGTCTTGCTCTGACATCCAAACCCGTCAACACGCACCTGGCGGAAACAATACCTCGTCGTCTCTCCACTGCCGTTCCCGAGTGTTCGTCATCAGCGCCTTTACCAACGCCTTCAACGTTTTCAGCACCTTCAACGCCTTCAACGTCGCTACCGGCTCCTCTGCCGTCTCCTCCACTACCGTCTCCTCCACTCGCTCCTCCTGTGGCCGCCCATCATCCCCCTAGCTCTGTCCGAAGACCCGATCCCGGACTCCATGTAGAACCTACCTCCCCGAGGCTTCACTCCCCTTTGCGTCACTCCGTGACCTTTTCCAACGATATCGACCTCGCGCCTGAATCACAGTTTCAAAGCCCTCCCGCCGGGCATTTTCGGCCCCAATTCTTCGACATGGCTTTCACCGGTGATAAGAGGACCACTGTCCCCAGGTCCAGGACCAGTCTGCCTGCTGTTGTGGAGGAAGCTCCTCGAAATCGATTTCCGTCTTGGTTCTCTCGCGCCAGTGTTTCTGCCCCTACCGCATCAGCACCCTCATCGACACCAGCGGTTCCCGAAGCTCGACCACGCAGCGGCTCATCGGCGTCCAAGATTGCGGCCGCAGCTGCTCTGTCTCGATTCAACATCTTTGGCGCCATATCCACTCCTTCTACTCCTACCTCTCCCACATACGGCGACGAGCTGATGAATCTCGACATTGAAAAGGGTCTCTTTCCCAATGGAGCTCCTGTTGAAGGAAGCACATTCTCGCCATCCTCATTTAAGAACCTACAAATGAATGCCACCGGACTGCTGAGCAAGTTCCAGGCGGCCTATCAGCAACGCACAACCGAAGTCCAGGAGCTCAAGGCTGAGCGCGAGACGGAAGCATCCACTATGAACGACGCCGGGGAAAAGATTCGACAGCTTGAAAAGAAGCTCGATGAACAGGCCCGGCAAGCTGCAGAGCGCGATGCTTTTATCGAGCATCTACTCAACCAGCTTGCTGACCAAAAAGACCGCGCGGATATGGAGGCTGAGGCAAATCGCGAAAAAGAGTTGGCACCCTCTGGAGCTTCCACCATTTCCGAGGACCTGTGTATCGACGAGGATCGTCAAAGACGCTGGCGAAAGAGCACTTCGACCTCCTCTGATGATGGTAGTGTGGATGAAGCAAGTGTCTTTTCTCGATCCCGGAGCCCGACCATCTCTACCAGCATCATGTCAGCAGATATCAGCCCGGTCACGACCCCCACAATTCAGTATAAGCCAGTCATTATTGAGCCTCCACGGGTCAACCGCAACAGCAGCGCTCAAATGAACCCTATTCAGAAGCTCTTCAAGGGGATGACTAGTGAAGCGCCCAGGAATACAGCCCCTGACACCTGTCGCAATTGCCAAGGGCAGGAGGCCAGTATTGCTTGGGATACAGTCAATCTTCTCAAGGATGAAAACAAGGGGCTCAAGCAAAGAGTCGAAGAACTTGAGACAGCTGTCGAGGGCGCACTAGATGTCGTCAATGGCTTGGTGTTGTGATGGCAGCCCCTGAGCTGCTGTCAAACCACTGTAACCTGAGATGAGACCCTTGACGGGTGCTCAATGGCGTTGTCACACGGTAACATGGCGTTCAAAATGCATCATGTCATGGCGGTGATTGTGAAACGAACCTTTTTATTTCCTTTGTTTATTGGTGTTTCTGAGGGGTTAAGAACACAGCCGAACTGGGTACACGGCGGCGTTTCAGGGCATTTGATACCATTCTGCACAGGTTGGAGGACCATTTTTACTCTCGTTATAGCATAGAGACGGGTCAGTCTCTCATGATACCTCGACCATTACTTATCCTGTTAGATGCAAAAAAATCTGGATACATTGACACTATCATAGTGTCTGAACTTGGAGTAACTGAATGCCTTGGTCTGCCTTGTGAAATGAATAAGTGACTAGTTGGCTGAGAACTGAGTGAGAGACCTTGAAGCCGGGAAGTGACGAATTGGCCTTTCCTCCTGGTATAGAGGCCATACGTTTCACAGGACTCGGTTTGCCAGAGGTGTTGCGTAGTTGTTGTGTCGACGCTATGTGGATGCGTCAATACTTCGGTATGCCCATGAGATCCTCTTCCTCCGACAAATATAACCAACTCGCGTGTGGTATGGATTGGATCAAGATTTCTTTTCATTTCCTGGTTCCGGCGTCTGATCGAACACTCTTCTCGCTGGACGAGATATATGTACAAAACCTCTGACATCCCTCGTGATGCATGCAAGTCATCTTTGCCCCCTCTTGGTGTCCTATACACGCCCGCTCTAGTGGTGCTCCTCGCCGTGGTGGTGCTCGTCCTCGAGGAAGAAATACTCGTATCCGCAGTAGGCAGCGAAGGCGACGGTCGCGATACCGAGGCCGGGGAAGCCGTTCTTGAAGCGGTTCCAGCGGGTGTAGCTGCCCTGGTATCGCCAAGCTTCGCTGTAGGAGAGGGAATAGTCAGTATGGAGATCTCCATGGCCAACGTATGAGGTTTAGAGGGCACTGACTTGCGCTCCCAGGGGTCGTATCGAGGTTGGCCGGTGGATTCTTGGAAGGCCCGCATGTTGAAGCCGGTGATGTTGGGCTTGGGCCCGCGCGAGGCGGCTCGTAGCACTCTGCACAGCGGACGGTCAGATATTCCAGTTGAATCATGTCAATTGACAAGGCCAATTGATAGGGTGGCGTGCGCGTCGTACCTCGTAGCAAGCATCGTGGGCTGAAGGAGAGAGATTCTGGGGGTGCAAGTTGAATCTGACGACAGGCAAATGATGGGCGAATGGAGAGCGAGCCAATTCGTCCTTACGGGCTAGAGTGATGGGCTGCCCGTCAAGCAACTGGGGCTCTTTCTCTCTAACAGCAACAGCAGGTCCAGGCTCCGGATCGGAACAAAGTGCCCCGATCATTCCGATGGCCCGTGCACGGACCATGCTCTGGGCTCGCTTCCAGTCTCCTCATCGACCTCTGTGCTGTGCCCTCGAAAGAGTCTCGTGCTGTTGGGGCAGAACAGAGCATATCATCATCATCTGTCCATTGCTTCGCCCGTTAATCCCCCCTCTCTCGACCAACGTATCTACTATTCACAGAAAAATCCAACCAAAATAACACCAAAAAAACTCACACGGGACATCTGTCGTTAGACGCTGAACGCAAACCCCGCGCGTATATCTATCTATCGTCACTTTCCCTCCACCCACTCTCCACCATACGACGTGGACTTGAGATCGATCACCCGCCCACGCCGCTCCCGCACCGCAGTGCTTGACGCCGTCCACCTCCGTCGCAAGGCCTCGATCTGGCTTGTGCCGGTATCGCACAGATCGTCCGATCCACCTTTGTCACCTCAATGTTCAGCGATCGCGGCCGTCGAGGTAACACGTATCCCAGGAAGTCGTCGCGTTAGAAACCCGTGCAAGGTTAGGATCAATCCCAAGGTCAGGGACCGCCGACACCTGCAACACCTCCACCGCTATCGTGGAGGCAGCCGCCACAAGGATTTGGGACACCGCCGAGAGCAGGGCCGCAACCTCAACTCCAAGGACTTAACCCAGCGGCAGGACATTTTTCGCCGCACCAGTTTCCTCGCCACGGCCAGTCGTCGCGTCTGCAGCCGCAAGCAGCCCTCAACCCGTCGGTAGGAGCCTTTCGCCCGCAACGACCAATCGATCTCGCCCGTCCTTTCTTCCCAGAGGCGCACAACTCCAATAACCGACCCGCTCCTTTCAACCAGAGAAGCCCTACCCGCGCTCCCATGCCGCCGCCGCAACTCCGGGGCTTCAGCGGCGGGCCCGCCGGCGCAGCGCCCTATCATCAGGGTGGTTTCCCTTCACATGGTCAACCACAGGGCGGCCACCTGGGCGCCAACCAGTACATGAACGCCAATGCGCAGCTCGGGCCTTTCTCTGCTGCCAACAGCAATGCTTTTACTGCTGGCCTGAACGGCCAAGGGTTCGCCGACACAGGGTTCGGTAGCCAAAGCGCAAGGATGGGATTCCACGGCCCAGCTGGCCTACAACAGCCGCAGCATGGAGGACAGGTTCACCAGAACGTCTTGATGGAGCACCCGGGGATCAGGTCGCACCCTAACAAGGGCAGGATACGAGAGGTGTGGAAGCATAACCTACACGAGGAGATGGCTGTGTTGAGAGAGCTGGTGGACAAATACCCCTACATTGCGATGGTGAGGCTCAGATGGTTGGCGACATCTACGGGAATTTGCTAATAATCTCCAAAGGACACCGAATTTCCGGGCGTTGTCGCAAGACCTATGGGAGGGTTCCGGGGGAAGAGCGACTACCACTACCAATGTCTGCGAACAAACGTCGATATGCTCAAGGTTATCCAAATAGGCCTCACCTTCTTCAACGAGGACGGTGAAACCCCACCGGCCCGGCCATCAACAAACGACTCCGATTTCGGCTTGGCCGCTCGAAGAGCAGCAAGCAACGCCCCCTTCCCCTGCTCCTGGCAGTTCAACTTCAAGTTTTCCCTCAAGGATGACATGTATAACGAGAAGTCGATCGAATCACTCCAACAGGCGGGTATCGACTTTAGCTTGCTTGAACGCGACGGCATCGATCCCCACGAATTCGCCTCCCTCCTTATCCCCTCTGGTCTGGTGTGCTTCGACAACGTGCGATGGATCTCTTTCCACGGCGGTTACGATTTTGGCTACCTAACCAAGCTTCTTATTTGCACGCCCTTGCCTAACGATGAAGTCGATTTTGATACCAAGATGAAGCTCTACTTCCCGACAACATATGACGTGAAGCATCTCATGAAGTATGCCATCAAGCTACACAACTCTGGACTCCTCACACCAAGCGACCCCAGTAGTGCTGAGATCTTGCAAAAGTTTGAGCACAAGTCCGGCCTCGAGAACATTGCCGAAACCCTCAAGATTAAGCGCATTGGTTCGGCACACCAGGCAGGCTCCGACTCCCTCCTCACCGGCAAGGTCTTTTTCCAGATGCGCGACAAGATCTTTAGTAGCGACATTCCGGATGAACATGTCGGCAAGGTCTGGGGTCTGGGCTTCCCGGACTCTAGCGTCATCATGTCTATGATGAACCAGCAGAACGCTGGCAACGATGGTGCGAATAATGGCAACGGCCAGACTGGAGGGCCAAGCACACCCAACACTACAAGTGCTGGGCTTGCTACTACTCCTGGGCCCCAGGGCCACACTAACGGCATCACCAACACGGGGCCTATGACCCCTGGCGGCGGTGGTGGTGTGTTTGGCAGCTTTGCGTTTGGCGGAAACCGATGAGGGATAGACGCTTGTGGGAACCTCTCCCCAGGCTAGGAAACAAGTTAATACTCTCAAAGCTGCTCCGTCTTCTGTATTATGCCCCTTCGTTGCTTATACTCGTCTCACCAACCCACACCCTTCCTCCTATAATCACTGGCTTACCGCAATCTATATCTTGCAACCTATACCTTGCAGAAGGAAGCGCACGATAAGACGGAGCGATGCCAACGGGAACTTTAACATTTTGCTTGTCACTCATAATATATCGCCTCGATGGCATCGGCACTCTTCACCCAGTTCTCCTATCGCTCCAGGGCTCTTGGGTTTTTCTTTATTTCTGGGCATAGGATGTCGAGGTTGGGTTTTCTCTAGGGAGCATGGAAAAAGGTACGGATGGGAGGGTTGATATGCTGGTTCCGTGGTCTTGATGGCGTTGGCGCCGCTGCTGTATCCTGTATTGTATGGTCAATAGGGGGTGTTTCGTCCATTGGAACATGGCTCTGTTTGAGTATCTCGACCAGCGTAGGTATTGATTGTTCTTGTGAACCTTGTGCCCAAACTCGTGAGCCGTGATATGAACTAATGACTCGAAGAAACATGCTGCAACAGTATCTTGTAGGCAGTGCAAAGCTTCAGTTTCGCTACGGTTGTATGTATAATACATATGTTGTCTCCCAAACGCCAAACCCAAAGATGTATGCAATACAACGCCTAGTCCCATGTACCAAAAACTCAAATAAGTCAAACACTCAAGTGATGTACACCTTCTTCAAGGCGTCAAGAGGATAGGTCTCGCCTGTCCGCAAGTCCTTGACTTGGTCCGCAGGTAGACCTCCCTTCTTGGCCTGCATCTCGAGACGGTCTCTGCCGTAGACGCTGCCATTGGGGAGCAGCCGAAGGTCATGCTCCACATGACTCTGCGTGTGATGCGCGTATGGCACGTTGCGTGCGAGCTCGTTGAGCTCCGTGGAGCAGATGGGACAAACCCCATGGCCGAGCGTTGAAGCAGCGGCGGCGGCTGCTTCGGAGGGCGTATGAGAGGATGGCGTGGTGTGTGATGAGGGTGCAGGAGAGTGAGCATGGCACGCAGGGGTTTTCAAGGCGGATAGACCGGATGAGAGGGCGACATGAAGGAGCGGGACGGCAGGCAGCGCAAGCAGCTGGTTATGCGTGGCTGTGAAGAGGTTGGCAAGGTCAGTCCAGCGGGAGGGCTTGTAAAGGTCTTCGTATGCGGCAGAAGCGGGTGAGTTTGGTGGGATAGCGAGCAGACCACCTGCTTGCTGTACTTCGCGAGGAAAAGTTCCACGGTAGGGAGTTAGGTGTTTCTTTGCGTGGGCGATGGCTTCGGCAAGCTTGTTTGGTGACTGGGAACGGACAAGCTCGATGTACTGTTGGAAGCGAAGCATGAACTCGAGTTTGCTCTAGGAAAAGGTTAGTTTTGCCATGGATAACATCAAGTATTGGACACGCACCTCCATCTTTCGCAGCTCTTTCTTGTTATCTGTGCACCATGCCAGAGCCTCGGTGACGCTTCCCTTCAAGAGGGCATCACGAATGCGGCTCGCAGCAACAAAGGTATCAACATCAACGAGGTTCTCAATCCCACGCTGTTGCGCCAGCTCCTTTGCAGTCTCATTGTATCCATGGCGCAGCAGATAGTCGGCCAGCAGGCGATCCAGCCTCTTCCTGCTCCAGGCCTCGTACTTGACGTCCTCCACCGAGTCGAGGGCGTAGAGCTCGTCGAGGTGTGCGATGCGGGCGGCGGCCTGGGTGTGTAGACGGGACTCTTCTGCAGCGTTGGCAGAGAGCTTGCGCTTCACGCCGCGCATGCGGGAGATCATGGCGTCGATGTTTCGTAGGACATCTTGCTGGGACGTGCGACCGGAGACGGCGGCCGTGGCAGAGTCTTTGAGCAGCGTCTTGAGGGCCGAGGTATCCTTCTCAATGGTGAAGTGTGCAGCGCGAAAGTTCTTTCGGAGAAGCTCGGAGGGAAGTCGGAGTAGAGGTTGGTCCTGGTATCATGAGCGTTAGAGCTAGAAGATGGAAGTGCAGGCGGTGATGCTGGATGGCGAGAGGATGGACGTACGAGAAGGAGATGCTCGTTGTGTTTTATGGCGGAGAGTTCGTGGTCGCCCATTTTGAGTATGTGCTATAGAGGAAGAAGGTTGGCGTTGATGGGATGCCACGGAGGCAAGAAGCAAGATGTCAAAGATGAGGTCAGGATCACAGTGGCTCCGATGATAGGAATCGCTCCATTGACGTTATCGCGAGGTGGGTTTCTTAGTGGGCGGTCCGGGGGGAGCTCCAGTTCCAGGTACGTACCGTGTCCAGTGGGAATAAATCATGCACCTCACTGTAAGTGAGCGAGAAGACCGCCTACGAATGGCGACGAAATTAGCTTCTCTCTGAGAACTGGACAGAAAATTGCGTCTTCTTTGCATTTGTCTAGGAACACGATTTAGAGTAACATTGCCCTCGGATGCACAAAGTGAGGAGTTGTCGAGTCCAGCGTCTTAGGAATTGGTGCGACCAGCTACTTTCGCCAATGAAGGCATGGATGGATAAGTACATGAGCAACTCACCCAACATATCCACGATTCGAAAGCTCCCGAACGAACTATTTGGCATCAATGTATTCGTAAATACACTTTTGCCGCTCATGTACTTGTACCAAAAGGCTCCCGCGGTTCCCAACATCGGCCGGGTGCATGCCGCAGCGGAGACTGACATGGGCTTATTCAAGTTCCCATGGATGGATCTTCAGGATAGCAACAGCTGGCTTGGCTTACTACGGTACGCCATGTCACTCCATCAGCAACTTGTTGTGACTCCTCAGCCGCCGGGATCCCGCTGTGACACCCAGCCTTTGGATCCTGAGGCTTGCGCTGACCAAAAAAAAAAAGCCCCCATATCGGGAATCGATCCTGAGACAACAGAACCCATCTTGGACCACGGTCTGAGCCATGATTCACGACGAGATCCCGTGTCAGACGAGCAAGAGGGACCCGGTTATCTTTAGGACGCAATCTGTTTCACCTCGTTGGCGTCAAGTGATGTTTGCCGGATGGATCAGGTGATTGATTGCTAGGCTGGGCTCCTCATTCTCGCCGGGTCCCCTTCCCCCCTCCCCCTCCGGATGGTGTGGTGATGGGAAGACGTACGACGATCGATCCCTATTGGTCCGTGCGATTCCTCTTCCCGCATTTGGGAATCTGGGCGGGAAAGCTTGACATTGAGGAAGAGGAACCAGAAAGTGTAAAAGGAGGATTTCTCATTTGAAGCGCGGCTTGTTGCCAGGTCATTAAAGGTACGGGCGGTACTTTGGTACGTCGAGTTACAGTGCAGTTACCCGCGTCAACCCAAGTCACTTGATGGAGGGGCGAGCATGGGTTGTTGGTTCTCTTTTGGGTGTAGAGACCCTTGTTGAGGGGTCCAAGAGAGCAGGCAGGTTTGCGTGTTGGCTCCAGCTATTGAGGCAGTGAATGCCTCGGGCCGTCGAGGCTTGTTGCGTAGGTAGTTTGCGTGGGCCAAGTACATGGACTTGTATCGTGTTTGCTAGGGATGTACACGGGGATCGAGAGGGAACAAGTAGGTAGCTAGCAGTAAGGGAAGAGAATCATTGTAATATTGACTTGAAGACGAGTTCATCAAGCATTTCATCACCTTTTCATCGCGTTAATCTGTCTTCTCAGCTGTTGCCTTCTCGTTCCCTGGCTCTTTCCCACACTCAGTGCGCCTTTCCGCAAAGGCAACCACCCCATTTCGACCATATGTGGCACGCCCGCTATTGTGATTGGTCGCGCCCGCACTTGGGTCTCTGCCTCAGGCACCACATCGCCAGGCCACCTCTCACCTCACCCGCATTATTTATCTTACCAGCCTCACCCACTTGCACGTGTTCACCCTCTTCCTCCGCCGCGTGACCCGACTCGTTCGCCCAGCAGTACCAGCCAGCCCAAGCCCAAGCCCAGCAGCCCGCGACCTCGTTCGCGCCAGCAAAAAGAAGCGCCCTCTGGGCGAGATTTCAATCTCCTTGTCCTCTTTTCCCCCCTGGTTTAAAACATAAGAAACCCCGCGGGTATTCTCCGAACGCGTATCGAGACCTTCCCTCCCCTTTTTTTAACCCTCTTCATTTATTTCCGTTGGAGTTTGGTTTTTCCCCCAAAGGAGGAGTTGACGACGCGAACCCTCTCGACTTATCAACTGGGACTCGCGCGATATCACGAGGTCGATCACGCCAAACACGTGAGACGAGAAACTCGTGATCTCCAAAGCAGGCCCGCCTACGCTACGCTACCTGCAGTGCTCGCCTCTAAGCACATGATCTGGGAGGTATGTCGGCTTCTATGCATCTCATTCACTTGTTCGCGATGTGATGCTTTTCGCTTGATGCGATGCACCATGTCTCCCTTGCCGTCTTCTGTTTGCGCTATGGCACGAGGGAATTATTTGCGCCTTTTGATCGGTGATGCTCCTCCTCCTCTTCGCCAAGTGGCCGTTCTTTCTTCATCACCATCGCTGTCGCGTCCTCGTGCCTCTTGCCTCTTGCTATCATCACCATCATCATCGTCATCACCACAACCCGCCTCGAGATATCATCTTCTTCACGTTTGTCTAGTCGGGCGTGTATCATCGCCTGGTCGATCACACGTCGTGCTATCGTCTAGATTCGAGTACTTGAATCAGCATCAGCGCATTTCCGCTGCCGCTCTGTCGCATCCACGCGACGGTCATTGACATCTTCACTTCGCTGTTGTTCAGTCACCTTTATTCTCGAGTGAGACCAAGGCCTGACCACGCCGTGGCCCTGCCTCTTCCTGGCTCATACAACTCGTCGCATGCTTCATTCACGGGCTAAAGCTTGTTCTGTCTGTCTGGCAACAAGGCAAGCGCCTCCCTAGCCTACATGTCTTGGTTGAGACTTGCACTCAAACGGTTGCTTGATTCTTGACAACTCTACACCCCAGATTGGATCCCGCCAGTCGCCTTGAACTTTTTTATGCTTCGTCTCGCCCAACCCAAATCTTGCCTCGCAGAGCTTTCGTTCTAACTGCCCTCCCCTCCTCAGATCTCTGACCGATTGTCAACGTCTCATCTGTGGCCTCGACATCGTCAAGCCTTGCGCACGGTCTTGACATCCGGCGCACGCGTCTGATCGAACAACCCCCGCCTAAATCTATCTCATTTTCTCCTCGGCACTTATTGCCAGCATCTTACCAACTGAACTGAACCATGGCTGAGTCCGTTGTTGCCGAACAGCCAGATCTCTCCAGCCTGACCGGCTCGCCTGGTCAGAAGCGGAAGCGTGAGTCAGGCAGCCCTGATCTGACCAGGAATAAGCGTCCTGCGCCAGCTGCCCACATGTCGACCGACGCCGCGTCCTTCATCGACAGTGCCATGGACACCCAGGTTGCCAATGCGAATGGCGTCAATGTCGCCGACTTTAACGCCTTGCAGCAGGCGGCCCAGGCCGACCACCCCGAGGCTCCGGACCCCGCCAGTGCTACCAGCACCGCCCAGGCTGCCCTGGGAATGTATCCCACTCTCCACGTTCCGCCGTCGACAGAGGAACAATTTGCAGCTCAGGCAACCGCCGATGGCGATCATGGCCATGATGCCCAGTTCAACCCAGATGTGCCACCACCCAACGTTGACGGCATCATGGAACCTCCACCCCCTCCGGTTGCCCCTCCCCAGCATCAGCCCACACCACCAAATGGGGTGCAGCACCAACCACCCCGGTACCCTCCTGCGGCTCCCAACCCGAAGCCGACTGTGGGCTCGGAGGAATGGCACAAGATGAGAAAGGATAACCACAAAGAAGGTATGGCTGGCATTGCTTGTTGCTAGTGTTTGATACTGGAAATAACTAACCCCGGCTTAGTGGAACGTCGTCGCCGTGAAACCATCAATGAAGGCATCAACGAGCTGGCCAAGATTGTACCCGGCTGTGAAAAGAACAAGGGGTCCATCCTGCAACGAGCCGTCAGTTTCATCTCTCAGCTCAAGGAGAACGAGCAACAGAACATTGAGAAGTGGACTCTGGAAAAGCTGCTTACGGAGCAAGCCATAACAGAGTTGAGTGCTTCCAATGACAAGCTCAAGCAAGAATGCGAGCGCCTTTACCGCGAGCTCGAAACTTGGAAACGGGTGGCCCAGAACGCTGGCCTGGAGCCTCCCCAGCCCAAGGAGGAAAACACTGCCACCACTACATCGAGCTAGGAGCCGACGTCAGCGTTGGCATTGGCTTCCCTGTCGACGCTGCCATCATTCTAACGTATACCCCCGTCTAATGTTGCCGCTCACATGCACCTGCCTTGCCCAGCAGCAGCAGCAGCAGCAGCTGTGGCACCCTCTCTATCTTTCGTCTTGATTCTATACTTTGCTTTTATGTTTTACTGCGGAGCCTCGGGCAACATTACTCCATCGGCCAGGAGCGATAGAGATACTCGGGGCGAGGATCGTCTTTGTGCATCCGAGTACGGTCGTCAGTTGCCTGGCTTGAATCATGTTGCCTTGAGTTTAGTTTGATTTGATCGATTTTCAGTAGCTTGGCGTTGGTGGATGGATGGATGGATGGACGGATTCACTTCCAGGTTGGCAGAGGGTTGAGGTAACAGGACTGATTCATGGTGCAATCAATACAATAGCTTGAGCGCTGAAACGAGTTATCTATTAAAGTTGGCTACGCATGCCATTGTGGCCGACTGACTTCCTTGTCGTTATGAGATAATGGTTCTTGGTAGCAACATGATGGATCACGAAAGCCATCTGGCTGCTTGCGTTCAAACGCTTACAATTAGGTCCTATCAAGCCTACAGCTATCATCATGGTCACTGACTGTCCCTAACCCCTTTTTTTCTGCATTTGAGCTTTCGTTCAAGTTCCTTTCGAATATCCACACAGGTGTCTGATTGGTCATCCCAATCATACACACACCTAGCATACAACTTGTTGTCTTCCCATCAACCTCCCCCATCTCTCCAACTTTCCGCACAAGCACAGCGTGACGGCTCTTAGGCCACCAAGAGCACACATCCGACTCGCACCAGAATGAAAGTGAGCGCAGGCTGAAACCTGATCTGATGGTCCAACATCCACTCCTGTAGCCACTCTCCACTGCCTTTGGAAACGTGTGAAGAGGACAAAGAGAGGATACGGAGCCAGTTCGAAAGATGAGAAAACCAAACAGCGTCCACTCAAAAGAAACTCTATACTCGTATCCTTTGTGCTTATCGAGCGTAAACGAGCAAGAGCAGAAGAATAGCCAATGACAAATACGTTCGCCGCCATCAAATCGTCGTCGCGTTTCTAGTCGTCAACATCAAAGAAAATAACCCCTTGATCCATTCGCCAATAGGTCCTCGCTTGAGTTGAAGCCAAGCGAAGTCATCAGCCAAGTGGCAAGGTCCTAACAGACACCAAGCTTGGCATCGAGTTGCACTGTTCGTACGCACACATTCCCCCTTGTTGAGCAACGGAACACACTCCATCCGTTATGCCAACCCGCCGTAGAAAGAGAGCCAAGGAAAGACCTCCACAGAAATACAAGACAACCAAGATCAAACCAAGTATGTGATATGATGTGATAATGATATGATGCAAAATGCCGCTGTAGTTCGCAAAAATCAAGCAAGCCGCCCCGAGGTTTTTGTTTCAAGTATATCGTTTGGGGTATCGAGTCATGGATGTGGGCAAGACAATAGAAGAGCGCCCGTCGTCTGAAGCAATCGAGAAATTCCGCCGTGCCTGGAGCCGGCGTTGAAACCCGGGCCGAGAGGGATATCGATATTGCCCGTGGTTCCACGTCCGGTCTGTCTTTGAATAACCTGTGCTGTCTGACCAGGTCCTTCGTCATGCGTAATCTATATAGATATAAGAAAAGCAAGTGTATCCCAAGACCGAAGAGAAGCTGCGTCATCAAAGAGCGTTGGCTACAATAGCCGTGTCGTACACGCTTATGTCGCAGCTAGTGCATCGGGTTTCGTGGCACATCGTCAACTTTCACGCCGGGAAGCCCTCGGTTGTCGTGGGCCATGTAGTCGTAGCCCTGCGTGGCGTGTACCTGCGGAGGGTGTGGTACGGCCCCGGAGCGGAATATCGGAGGTTGGTTCGGATCGTATCCGCGCGGGAGTCCGTCAAACGACGCACCCATGTACGGCTGCGTCTGGTTCATGGGAACCGACGGGTTCACAAATGCTGATGCAGAGGGGTTGGCTGGCTGCTGCGTAAACGTGTACATGGACGATGCGTTGGGCGCCGTGGAGCCGGGCTGCTGCCACTGTTGCGCATACATGGTCGATCCGTTCTGTCCTCCGTACTCTGCTGGAGCGCTAAAGATGGAAGAGCGGCGGCCTGAATCATGGGCTGGAGGAGGTACACCCATATCCATAGCGAGACTTCCTCCCGTCGAATGAACTGAGGACTGACTGTTGACGGGCAGGTTATTGCCCTCAACGAACGTGTGCTGCTCCTGTGGCATCTCTGCCATCATAGAAGAAGGGTACTGGTTGCCTCGCACCGGCAGGTTGTCAAGGAAGGGTGTTCCATGCAGCGACGGACCAGAACTGTGGCTGTGGCTCGTCGAGGATGGCATAAGCCCATGCACTGTCGAGAGCTTGGTTGATGGCGCGTCCTGATCCTCCTCGTCCTTAGGGATGGACCCCTCGTCGTCGTTTCCTGATGCGTACGTCTCGGGGATCTTGTCGTCCGCCATCACATATATCTCCATCGTTCCATCTACAAGCCGTCAATATCCCAAGCAAACATAAGCCGAGCCAAGAAAACCTACCAATTTCATCATTCTTGTATCGTTCCTCTTGCTTAGCCACCTTGAAGATCTCGGTCAAGTACGGACGCTTCCTCGCGTTGGCCGGGTTCTCCTTGTCGGCAAAGAAACCCGACAGTGCTTCAATCGTAATCTCTTCAAGCTTCTTGACGTTGAGATTCAGCTTCTGGATGTCTGGATGCTGTCTGCTGTTGGGCTCCACAATCATCCTGAGGATGTGGTTGAGAAGATGCACTCGCTCTGGAACACAATGTTAGCAAGGCATGGCCCATCATCGGCTCCATTACAATCATGACTTGCCTCGTTTGTAGAGATGATCCGGCTCCTTGTGACGAACTTTATCCTCCTTGGTAGGACCCCATGGCTTAGGCCACCAGTCAGGAGCTTTCTCATCACTGCCCGTGTAGGGGTGCGTCGACTGCTTCTTTGGCTCCACGGCCTTCACCCATGCTTTGGCGATCAGTTTGCAGGCAGTTTGCTGACAGTTCTTGAATCGTTGTTCGTAAAAGTTCCAGACATCCTCCGAGTTACCGATCTTGATGCCCTTGAGCGTTGTCGAGACAGTCATGGGCATCTCTTCCTCGTCATTGATGGGGTGGCGTGCTCGTGGTCTCTTGCGGCCTGGTCGTGTTGGCGCCTCCCAGTCGTCAAAGTTGGATAGTCTGCGGCGATCCTGTAGGCGGTTCCGTGGGAAATCAAGGGCTTGCTGCTTGTAGCCGCTGTCAAACCCGAAGGCATCATCGACAACAGGGCTCGCTCCTGGTTATTACTCAGTCTTGAGTCCAAACAAATATCGTGCATGGGCTGACCAACCGGAGTCCAAGCGTTCCATAACTCTCTGATATTTGTCGAGATCAAAGAATTGCTTCACAACATCGCTGGGGAGTTTCGTCGAAGTACCGGGACCAGAGAAGGTCATAGGGCTCCCGTCGTCCATTATCACAGCAACAAAGTATCGTCTTGCCGCAATCGCACAGTGCTGGCGAAGGGCTTCGTCAATTTGCTTGACTCACGTTAGCAGTTGAATGAAGCATGCAGAGTTGAGCGAGTTATACAATTGGGGGTTGTCGGCGGTGCATTTCCTGAACCTCTGGGAAGCGGCCATCTTCGACCCCATCACCAACAAACCGCTCGGATATGTAAGAGTGGTGCCGAGGGAAACTGTCCCTCGGCCAGTCTCTGACATCTCTGACCATCTTCCTTGCGACTCCCGCGAGTCGTAGGCTGGTCCAGGTTTATCTTGAAAATCCAACAGTAGCTAAAGACAGTCACGGATGCGCCAATGCAATGCGTTGCAGGCTGCAACTCGATTGGATGGGGCAGTTAGAAGGTCGTGAGTCAAAGTCCGTCCGAGCTTCGTATATCTAAGGTTGGTAGACGGGAATAATAGTTTCGTTTCCGGCGCAAACTGTGTTTTGCTTCAACGCGTCGAGGTCAAAAAAAGTGTGGTCTGAATCGAACAGGAGATGCTGAATAATGATACGGCAAAACACGAGATGACTGTTGGGGCAAGCAACACTAGTACATGCCGTGGCTGGGCGGTGTACAGTGAATATGAGGCGCGTCGTGAGCGAAAACGTCAGTAGCCCGATGGCTTAAATGAGGTGAAGATGCTTGATAGAATGCGATGAGTCCAATGTGAGTTGGATGAGCGTTCTGTGAGCAGGTTGCAGGTACTAATAAGCACCAAAGAACGATGTCAAAATGGTGTCGAGAGTGGTGACTTTGCCTCTGGTCAGAACTTCTCCGGGGGGTTAAAGACGCGAGTTGACTCCTAGGGATGGAATGGGCTCGACAATGGCGTGAAAGCGACCCAAGTTGCAGATTGTGGATTGTCAGGAGACGCCTCAGAGCAACAAAGACGCGAGTGAGGAATTGGTCTTGTCGATGGCAGGACTCTGGTGGTTTGCTTTGCTTGCAAGAAACGAACGGTTCTGAGAATGGGGTGCGGCGCAACCAGGCCTGTCACCTGCTGCAATGTTCTCGCAGCGGGAGGATGCTGCACTAGGATTCTTTGGTCAACAAGCCGCAGCCGAGAGGAGGGTCGTCCGTGGGTGGTCTGAGTTCGTGGTTGATTGCAAAATGTCGTCGGCTATCTCCAACCGGATGTGGGCGAAAAGAACATGCAGGACGGATTTACCGACCAAGGAGCAAGCTCGAAGCAAGGGGATATATCGTCTTCCAAGGGAGAAAAATCGGACTCCAGCGTCGTAGTAGTCTGCAAGAGAGTGATGCGAGCCTGGGCTGCTGAGGTGGCAACGGTCCAGGATCTTAACTGGCGAGGAGAGGATGAGTGGCCTCAGTCAAGGGGGGGGGGAGATCGCGACGGCACCTGGTCGACGGAGAATTGAGCAGCACTGGGATTGGGATTGGGATGGGATTGGGATTGAGCGCTGCTAGCGGCAAGACAAGGTTAAGCTGAGCTGAGATGGGATGGGCGACAGGTTTGCGATCTTGAGAAAGAAGACGAGGTTGATATGACAAGGTTGCGGGACCGGGACAGACGCAAAGCCGGGGAATGAGGGACGAGTCCAAGTAGGAGGCCCCGCACTGGACCGACGTTGTCTCTCTTCTCGCGACCTTTAGCTCCAGAGTAGCCAGATTCGCGTGCCGCTTGTATACCAGGATGGGCGCTTCCCAGTCAGTAAAGGGGAGGAAGAGGTTCAGGTAGACGTAGGCGACTGGTAGTGAATGGATTGGATGGGTTGGGATGGGAGCACAGGACAGGGACCGCCTTGGTTCCAACAAGCACGCACACAAGATGAGTGCTAGGGTGATCTTTGACGGACGGTGGGGGATCAGGGACCGGTGCGTGTGGTGTAGTGAGCTACCAGGATGGACGCCCCAGGGTCTCCGATCGCAGCAGATGTCTGGCCAGAGAAGACGAGAGAGCGAGCGAGCGAGAGAGGAGGGGTGCAGTGAAGCTTGACGACGGACGTCTCTGGATCAGATCCGTGGCCGCGACACCCCAGGTCTAGTGGTATCCGTAGCGGTAGTGGTCTTGATAGTGGTAGCAGCAGCTCGACAAGAAGGGACATTCAGCTATCGCCGGGATGTCGATGAGCCGTAAAAACGAAGCCAAGGGTGAGAGAGTGGCAGGGAAAGGAAGCAAGACCCCCTAGTCGTCAGTGTCGCACAGTACGTATGGATTGAGAGGACAAGACGCTAACCACTCAAGGCCGAGACGGTCTTGACTTGTATGTACGTAGTATGCCAATCCCATGATCCACCGACCTGGCTGACAGGGCTTCATGTCAAGGGTGTTGACGAGAGACGGCGGTTGGTCCACGCTTAGCTTCCGACGCCCCCACAGGTGGACGGATCCAAATGTGGCTTCCAAGAGACAGGGCACAGGTGCCAAACGGCATCAACAAATCAGATTGGCTTCTGTGCTTTAGATTATCATGGTTCCATGCAGCATCCATCAATACGACAAAGTTTGGCGTTTTGCGATCCTTCAGGCTGTTGAGGCTCCAAACGCCAGGACGACGAGTAATGGACGACAAGACCAGCCAGCTCCAGCTCCAGCTCCGACCCGCAACGAGGGATTAGACCGGCCTCGGAGAGGCAGGGGTTGCGTTGACGATGGCTGAAATGGTGGGCCCAGAGTAGAGTAGGTTAGATGGGGACGAGCCCAATAGTTGCGACCAAGACGAGGAAAAAAGAAAAGGAAAAAGAAAGGGCAGAGGGAAAAAAAGCCACCCTCTTCAGCAACGCATGACTGAGAGCGCGGGTCCTGGGGCGACAACACCGAGTAGCACCGTCTGCAAAGGTACTAAGAGTGAGACAGGGTGCGCGATTAGGCTGGTGATTGAACCAGCCAGAGTCACAAAAGAGCCGGTGATGCTGCCATGACCTTGCTGCATCTCTAGGTAGTCGTATTGCATCATCCGCCATTGTTGCTTTTGCTGGGACGGCGGCTTGAGACGGCAGGGTGGTCCATCATCCGTCCGTGTCCGTACGTACGTAAAGCCGTTGACTGTCGAGACGTTTCGTCTTGAGGGGCCAGAACATGCGTGCTCTGTTCTGCCTCTGCTCTGCGTACCGCACGCATCTGAACACCTGCTTGAGGGAACTGCTGGGGAAGGGATTGGCCGTGGTTAATGAGGCCAGGGCATGGATGCCTGGCAATATCAATGGCAAGTCGCTGATTCGATGCTGTGGGTGGGAATGGCGATGTGCCATTCTCCAGAATTCCAGGGCGGGGATTGCACGGAGTGAGGGACTCAAGGAAGCGAGGTTGTTTTCCCAGCCGGGGCCAGGGTGAGCAGAATCTGCCAGACCTCATTTCGGATCTCGATTCGTAGCTAAGCTTGCCGGCACGTCGTGCCTGGCTGGGACCGTCATGACAGGCGACGAGGCGGAGAGAGTAGGTTCAGACGGAGGTGACAGTATCGATGCCTTGATACTAGGAGTGGTTAGTCGTCGTGCGCCTCAGCAGAGACAGACAGGGGATGAAGCAGCCAGCTCAGGTCGATCTTGTCTTCCATCGTCCATGGTGGTGGACTGGTCTGGCGGCCGGCCTCGCGTGTGCTTGTTCTCTCCCGAAGTGCTGCCGCTAGACTCCAAGGCGGCAGCTGGATTACTGCATTCGAGATCTGGTGAGATGGGGTCGGCCTCTTGGGGGATTTCGGGGCCATGAGCTCCAGGGAGCTTTGCTCGAAACGTGTAACCCTGCAGGACCGGCTCATCCACTATCGCCCAACGCAGCATCTCACATCGGTACGGCAGCACTAAGCTGGTTGGTACCTCTGTAGTGTACAGTCCCGCGGTGTACGGTACGGTACTCTTATGCGCATATGCAGAGGAGAGTTGACCATCAGCCCCAGGCCAGGCGAGATCTCAGATCATGTTAGCAGAATATGACGGACGGTAGCCAGGGCGAGTGATAGCATCCATCCATCCATCCATCCATCATCCATGGTCCAGAGTCCGGCGAAAAGAAGTGGGAAGAAGTTCCAGCCGGCTTTTGGTGGCTGGGCTTGGACCCAATGGCGCCGCCAATCCGGAGGGTCCATCGGCCAGTTGAAGGGTCTAAAGGCCACCTTCCAAGGGGTGGGTGGCCCCTGCTTTCCACATTGATGCTAGGACGAGGAGGAAGGAGGAAGGGTGGTGGTCCTGGTGGTGCCCTGATGGTCCAAGTGCCTGCCAACTTGCTAGGCCTGGGCAGCCACCCGCCGGGATTCACACACCTTGCACACAACTTGGAGGATCCAATGCGTGCGTGGTTGAATCATGTACAACCTGCCTACGAATACAACTATGCAGTTACGCATTACGTGGTACTACGTTCGAGTTTCGAGTGAGCTACATGAGTCGTTGTCAACACTACCTAGTTGTGTCAAATCCAAAGTACTATCCTATCCTATTGCGCGCGCAAAGGCAAGGTACCGTGCAACTGTCCTTCCCAGCTAGGAAGTTGAAGGCTGCGGGCGGTGGAATTCAGCTGTGGAAGGAACGCTGGGCGAGACATGCAGCAGTTTCCTTTCATGCGAAAAGATCGACACCTGCGATCCTGTGATGAATCACGCGCCAGCGCTGGCACTTCAGGTATTCCAATACCTTCTCTACTGCTATACGCGGCATCCTAGTAGAAACTTCAAGACATTCCGCTCCGGCGCCAGCTCGCACTAGCCGTCACCACCTGGTTCGGTACGATCGGACCTGAGCCTCCCCTCCGCCGATGGACGATACGGCAGTCTACAGTTGCACCGGCACCACCACCATTCATCCTAACTCCCCCGGACACGTACTGTCAGAAGTCAAAAATCACCTTGTTCGTATCAAGGTTCTCGGCCGAAGCCGACAAGCGACCACCAAACTCTGGACCGGACCTGGGGCGATGGACAGGCGGGAGGCACGCGGTCCGGCTCGGCTCCTTTGTTAGCCTTGAAACAAACGTATTTCATGCGCAGTACATTGGGTCATCCGAATGGA